TGAGTTGGGTGACTCCGCTCTCTCGCGAAAGGAGAATGTCTTCTTCATTCAGGACTGGTCTAAAGAATATATCAATAGGAAGTTTCAACGTTAGAGGTATTTCTAGTCAGGTGAAGCGGGAGCAGCTTGCTCGGGATATCGCGAGGTACCGAGTCGATGTTTGTTGTCTTCAAGAAACGAAAATAGTAAATTCTTTTGATGAAACGCTGGGCAACGGAACGAGAATCATCTGCCTGCCGTCAGAGTGCAGGCATTACGGTATGGGCTTTGCCGTTAGAGGCGCCCTCAAGGACTGTATGAGCCGGTATTGGCGTATTTCTGACAGAGCGGCCGGTATTCAATTCAAATTTCCCAATAGCAAAAAATCATCGTTGACAGTCATCAACGCCTACGGTCCAACAACAGAACGGCTGCGGGCAAGCCCGGATGAACAAAGTGAGTTCTTTGACAGTTTGGCGAACGCCGTGACTGACTACGCTTCCAGTGGATTATTGTTCGTAGCTGGTGACTTAAACTCGAAGCTAGGGATACGCAAAAGTGGCGAGTCCTTTCTTGGACGCCATGGCCGCGGTCAACGAAACTTGAGTGGTGGAGTTTTTGCTAGTTTCCTTGAAGCTCACAACCTGTTCGCTGGCAACACAGCATTTCAGCACAGCGCTAGACATAAAACAACGTGGCAAGGCCCTTGCCGTGACAATTCCGGTGTTCCTGTTTACAATATGATAGATTACATCTGCTGCCGTCAGAACCAGAGTCCCCTTCTAACAGACGCAAGGTCGTATGCGGGAACATATGTATTCTCCAACCATTGCCTAGTTGTGGCGAGACTGGACATGTCGAGATTCTATGGTGTTCTGGGTATGCACCAACGCAAGACCACTGCCGGCAACATCCGCCCTGACACTGGAAAGCTTGCTTCAGATGTCGCAATTCGGGAATCCTACAAGAGAACTGTGGAGACCCAGGTCCAGTGCAGCGTGTCATCAGAAGCCAACAGCACCCAAGCAGTCTGGGAATCCTTATCTGAAGTCCTCAGCAAATCAGCACTGGATTCGGCCGGCACTCAGCAGAGACAACATCACCGCCATGACTTCTCCCCTGAAATTGAGTTGCTGTCACGCAAGCAGAAAGATCTTCGCCTGGCGATTGGAGAGTGCAGGGATGACCAGAAAAGACAGTCACTAAAAAATCAAAGAAATCGCACAATGCATGAAATTCGTGATATCGCATCTGACGATGCCAAGAGAGCCTTGGATCGTCAAGCAGAGGAAGTGGAGCGACTGCATGATAGTGGGGCAAAGATGTTCCGTGCTGTCCAGCTACTGAAGCGAAAACCGTACAGCCAGCCTATTATTCATGATGAGAAGCAGCGGGTCGTTATCAACCCTGCAGACCAGCAGGCGTTCATCATCAAACATTATGAAAGCCAATTCCATGATAAATCCCTCCCTGACATTCCACAATTCCTAGGTGATCCCAGCCCTCTCCCCAATCAAATCACATCGTCCGAAGTTAGGAGGGCCTTCCAAAGCCTGAATAACGGGAGAGCGGCAGGCCCTGACCATCTCTCCGGAGAGTTACTCAAGTACAGTCCTCCCATTGTCGCTGAGATGACTTCCGACATCTTGAACCAAGCTATTGAGACACATGACCCACTCGAAGTTGGCAGAGGAACCCTAATACTGCTGCAGAAGCCCGGTAAACCACTAGGGCCGCTTACTAGTACGCGCCCTATCGTACTGCTCTCGGCGTTGAGAAAGACGCTGTCCCTGATTGTGCTGAAGAGGATACAGCCAGCGGTTGATCAGTACCTTGCTACATCCCAAAGTGCTTTTCGTCGTGGCCGCAGCACAAGTGATGTGGTGTGGTGCCATAGATGGCTATGTAGTATGACGCAGCGATTCAATACGTCCATCCACATATTGGGAATTGACATGAGTAAAGCATTCGACACTGTCCGCCGCGATGTCCTGATGAGGATCCTTGAATCCTTCCTCCAAGAAAGTGAGCTCCGAATGATCCGTATACTGTTGACTGAAACCTGGCTTGAACCTCGTGTGAAAGGTGCATCGAAAAGCTCCTTCAAGACAAATATCGGAGTCCCTCAAGGGGACAGTCTCTCTCCAGTGCTTTTCACCATTTACCTGGAGGCTGCTCTCCGGGACCTACGACAGGAGCTGCCATCTCGCCCTGCTGTGGACAATGACCTGCCGCTGGATATCGCATACGCGGACGATGTTGATTTTGTGAGCCGGGATGAGACGTTTCTCAGTGAAGTTGAACAACAAGCTCCAGCAGTTCTTGCGAGATGGAACCTGAACGTTAATCCCTCCAAGACAGAGCATACCACCGTCGCCCGATTTCCCGATAGGAACCAAGAAACGTGGCGTACTGTCCGCAAACTAGGCTCCCTCCTGGGTGACGCCGAAGATGCTGCTCGGAGGCGTCAACTGGCCGCCGCCGCCTTCAACTCACTCCTCAAGATCTGGACCCGGAGGCGCCAGATCAGTGAAGGTCTTCGGCTGAGGCTCTACAACGCCTACGTCATCCCAGTCCTTACCTACAACTGCGGCACTTGGGGCCTACCGATGTCGGAGCTCGCGCGAATGGATTCGTTCCACAGGACCCAGCTAAGGAGCATCATCGACATGCGGTACCCTAAACGAATTAGCAATGACACTCTGTATAAGCGCTGCGGAGCTGTCCCCATCAGCGAGATGATCACAAGGCAGCGCTACAGTCTCGCTGGCCATATCTTTCGTTTGGCCCCAACTGCTCCTCCACAGTTGGCAGTGGATATGTATCTTCGCCTGGCCAACGACGAGGGCACTGAACGCTTGAGGGGTCGACCTCGGACGACTTTGGTAACGGTCTTGCAGACGGAACTGTTATCATGGCATGGACTTACCCTCCACCAGCCGCTAGATGTTGACGCAGTCCGCACAATGGCAGCGGACCGACAGGCATGGCGTGGAGCCCGCCCCACCTAACAGGACTGACCAGACATGTTGTATGCATATTCTATTTTATTTTATACTTTGGATGAAGTTTTCCATTAGTCATATTGGTGTTGTTGCTAACGGCTTTTGTTGACGTCACTTCTGTCATTTCATTGTATCGTATTACTCTTCAGACATCAATCCTGAATGGCATAAGCGAAAGTGGCACCCCCGCCACCTACGCGGACATGCTTTTAATAATAATAATAATTAACCTCTCTATTATGAAAATAGACGCGTAACTCACGTGTGGTACTTGGCACGACACCGGGTTACCATGGTTACTCTGCACTATCATGCCGGTGTGCGCACAGAAGACGTCGACGCTGCGGAGCATGAGTACGCGCACCTCTATGACAGCACTCAGCTGACTTGAGTTACTCAGGTCCAGTAGGAAGTAGCTGAGAGATACCTTGAAGCTGTCACCTACATTTACAAGCACACGCAAATGCGAATATAAGATACGGTATGAACACAACCTAGCTCGTGTATAATCAGCGTAGTCCGCTCACCACGCCAGCAAATGGCCGTCAAACGTGCTACTATAGTCGAAATAGGCAAAATGGTGACTATGAGGTTGCCAGTGGTACATGAACATGTACTTGGTCACCACAGCACAGATGAGGCTCTGGTATAAGGTCACCACAGCACAGATGTGGCTCTGGTATAAGGTCACCACAGCACAGATGTGTGAGCTAAGCCAGGTTTACTTTTGAAGTTTTATTTTACATCGTTAGACTCTATCTACTGTTCCATATGTACAGTGGTGGCACTGAAAGCTGACCTCCGCTCGGTGCACTCACATTGCAAAACTCCAGCATTTGTAACACTTCCAGATAGAGACCCCACTAGAATTGGTGCTGCACTTGAGCATGAAAATCAGGGGTAGGATTTCAGCTGCCACCACTCTGCTTTATGCAATTACACATGAAGTCGAGACCCTAGGTCGGCGGAGCTCCCTAAACCTCACCACCACTGCCATGATTCAGGTTGTGCGTGCTTCCCCTAGCTGCATCTCATGTTTGGCATTTAAGTGATCTTCGTGAAAAAACAAAAAAAAACACACACACACACGGTCTGACTAACCCGTGTTCCGATACCGGTCGACTGCGGACAATGTGCCGAGATGTGCCAGGTCTCCCCCGCACGTTGACTGCGGCATCTTCTGCTCTTGCTTTTGCTGTTCTTGCTGCTGCTGCTCTTGTTGCTGTTGCTGCTGTGCCTCTGAGTATTCACCAGGTGCTGCACAATGGTCAGGAAGTACAGAAGCAAATTCGCCTTGCACGATGTTGTATCATCCAGTTATATTTAAAAAAAAACTATTTACACTTTCCTGGCCCCCCTGATCCTGTCACCTACTATCAAGAGTACATAACCCCCCCAGAGTGTGTAACGCCTGATCCAGCTCTGCATAGCTAACTGTCCACCAGCGTAACCAGATCTTATACAGTTAGCGAGTGCGACAAAATGGCACAACACTGACAAGGAGTACTGAGACATTCAGCGATCTAACACCTAGCTGCAGCACTCCTTTTTCACCATAATTTAATTGGCTCACCAATGTTTTTGAGGATGACATTCACACAGCACTGCGTGTCATTTGCGCATCAGACCACTCCCAACAACAAGTGGTCCATTCTCAGTGAAAACGTTATTAACGTTCACCTTTTTGATGTCCACATAATTATTTCTTCCATGACAAGCTTTGTTACAAGTAATAAACGGAGTATTAACAATGGTCTGTCGATCCAGCTTGTCCTATTGGATGCGCTTCTGAAACCTGTGTCCTCTTGACGTGTATTCGAGAATTTCAAATCGGAGTTAAATCAGTTCATCAGATGTTCAACTTTCAAATACCTTTGCCCAAGTGTAGGTAGTGCAGGGAGAAGCTATCGCGGAAGAGCAGCGGCTCAAAGACGTGATTGACACTGCTTGCAGCCAGGAACAGTTGATAGCAAGCATTGTGACTAGGGTCGGTGGCATCAGGCAGTAAATCTCCAAACACACTGGCAAGTACTGCATACGGCCGTGTAGACTGAACCGTCTGCAAGCATTGGGGAAGAGGAAATGACAGGTGAGTTGGCAACAGGTTAAAAAGTGATGTGTACAATGTATTTTCTTATACTTTTTTTTGTGATTCGCTGAGGAGGTAGTGGTGGTGGTGGTGGTGGTGGTGGTGGTGGTGGTGGTGGTGGTGGTGGTGATGGTCAAAGAACTATTTTGTGATTTGCAGATGGTGGTGGTGGTGGTGATGGTGGTGATGGAGGTGGTGGTGGTGGTGGTGTGTGTGTGTGTGGGGGGGGGGGGGGGGGGGGGGGGATGGGTGGTTGTGGTGGGTTTGATATTGGTGTGTGCTATCGCAGGCCCCATAGACAGAAGCTACACACTATTGTGGTTTACTCAATCTGCGAACAGCATGCTGTTTCGTTATTGTGTGAACTCATCAGCGCAGCACAGAGAAAATAAGGCCGAACCTGATAGCAACGAAAAAATTAATACAATCTCCAAAGCCGTACTATTTAAACCAGGCCTGAACGTGCCCTGCCAGAGTGCTCAAACTGACAATCCAGTGAGCGATGCATAATGCAAACAGCAAAGGCACTACCCCACATGAGAGTGCTCAACTGCTACAAGGGCAGGAGTGTGGGTTAAGTTCTCTTGGTATACTCATACCTTGAATGCAGACCAGCTGCCATCGGTCGCTTGCAGGCCGAGAGTGAATGCTAGGTCAGTGCTTGAACTGACTGATGGTGGTCTTCTCCAGAGTACGGTTCCATTCCTGCACAGCGACACGGCTAGATTGAGCGACGCGGTTACGCCTGAAGAGATGAGACACACACGCACAGGGTCATAGTTATGAGCATGTGCGCGCGCGCGCGTGTGCATTTGCACATACACACATGCATCCAGGCATGCACGCACACATGTGCGTGCACATACACACACACGTGCGTGCATATACACACGCATATGCGCACGCACACGCACGCAGCGGACGCAAGAACTCGCGCACGCAGATATGCACATATACACACATTGTTATGTACATCCCTCCCCCACACATACACCACATGCACACACACGCACGCATGCGCACGCGGACACACACACACACACGCACACACGAGAGCACAAACATTATCTTCTCTCACCCGTGTAGGGAACAGCAGTGGTGGATGCGCTGATTTGGGGACATTGCCGGAGGAAGCAGTTATCAACGTCTTCCAACTCTGCTGACGACCCACCTCCAGCCTGTGCAAACAGGATATGATGCATTCTATCATTCTATCGTTCATTATGCTCCTTTGCAGCAGCTCACACAGTACGCTATCGTACCCCCACCCTTTCGCGATTTGTTGGCAACCTTATTTCGTAGATATATTTTATGTGATTGTGGACTGATTTGAATCATATTACACTAATTATCTTCCTTTCGTATTGGCCATGGGCCATTGTGGGAATAAAGAAAAATAAATAGTGTGGGAAAATGGAACATTGCGCGTGTTGATGTGGGTACAAAAAACATCTGCTTCAAGGGAAACTAAACGAATTTGAAGATTCTGATCTTCACGATAATGCTCGTCTTTGCGCAGGCCGTTTCATAATATGCCGGAACAAAACCAGTAGTAATGGAAGCTCAGACAGTCAGTATTACACATCATCTTTAAATAGTATGTGTGACTTAGAATCCCTCCATTTCAGATGTACCCTCATCGCTATTACAATTCTTTTCAAATACATCCACCTTCAACCTCATATCTTATGCTTTTTGATATCAATATTTCTCGTAGCGAACGCAGACCGAACAAGCTTGTTTTCAACTCTCATGGGAAATTTTCATCTTCCCCTTTCTTACATAAAATCGGCAAATTATTGAATTGCCTTCCACCCAAGATTACCGCTATAGGTTCGTTCTGTTTCAGAATTCAGGACACAATTTCGCGCTCATTATAAACAGCATATTTGCCTGCACAAATCGCTTCACCAGTATATAAATCAATGATCATTTTCACTGTTAGGAGATCCCCGGCCCCCCGATAGGCGATGCCTTTGGAAAATCCTTTTTAAAAATAAGAAAATGAATATACAATCTTCGTACAACATGTACTTCGCAGTATTGGTATTAGTACTGCACCTAACCTTGATTCGTTAGTGAGTAGCCGCTAAACACGTTAGTAAAACCAGTGGTATTGACATTTTCAGCTCGAGGCGAATCTTTCCTGGTAAATTCGCATGCAGCGCGTTGCTTTTTCGCATCTTGTTGGGTGAGAAGCCAATCGAGCATTGCGGCTCGAGTCGTCACGTCTTTCAGTGATTCACTCACCAGTGACATAGGGCTCCGCACCGTCCGCGATTCAGCGGTGTTGTAGCCATGTGATTCCTGAAGTTCCGCATGACTGCATCTTAGCTCTCACTCCGTCAACAATTAGTTTGCGATCGGAACATCCAGGACGTGAGTCCAGCGGCTCTCACTCTCAGCTCATGACAGTGAAACGTCTCAGTTCTGACACTGTTTTGACGCAGACCAGCAGTCGAGTCGTGGCCAGGTATAGGAGTGAGGCTGGCGTTCGCGGCCTTCGCACCGGCAATTGCGAGACCGTTTGTATTCCACTGTTCCAGCTTCTCCTGGTCCAGATGTGAAAACAGAACTGACTCACTACTGGATATTCTGTCCAGGGCTGTTGTGAAGGCAATCAATGTCGCCTATCATAGTATCAAGATCTAGATCTAGCATCTACAGAATGTAGATAGACAGATCTTGAACCACTCGACAAGAAGGAAACCTCGTTCTGCACCAGTCTAGCTACATCACACTACATGATTGTACTACACTGACTCTGCACTACAGCTTGGACTTTGGAGTCACTTACCATGCTTACTCCCACTCTCCAGCCCACACGTGGAAGTTCGTTGCAGAGCATGCAGGATCTACATGATCTAGGGACCGGGCAGGTAGGTACAAGTAGGTACGGAAGTCTGGAAGTAGCATGCGGATTGCGAAAGCAGCAACATATCCAACGACGCACATCATAACTGTGAAATACTTGTATAATAATTATGGAAGCCTAGCTTGACAAATCCGTCGATCCCCGAGCTGCAGAGAGTGCTCAATGTCAGAGACAGAGCTACAGTGTAGTACGTACGGTAGCAGACTGAGCTCAGCGGAGGACGAGGAGGAAGGTAGTCCAGTACATGAGATACAACGTCTTTCTTGTTGTTTTTCCTTCTCCATGTAGCTGCTTGCAGCATGGTAAACGACAGTACCATGGCCTTTTTCAGATTTTCATTGTACCTATTTGTAGTACCTCCCGGGATCAGTATTTCCACTTGAAATAATATTCACCAAAATGCCTCATTCTTTAATAGCATTCTTTTATTCGCTTCCATGTAATTGGGCTTATTGCACGTTTGGTATTGCGAATTCAAATAAACAAAACACCAACAACAACAACAGGTTGGTCGTAACGTGTGTCCCCCGCCTTGAAACATGCTGTCGACTTCGGAAACATGTAAAAGTCCGTTGTGATGTCATCATGGTTGTCACAACGTGATGTTATCTTTCACTCTGCTTCTCTCACGAGTCACGACCATCTACCCATTGTCCTCGTTCCTCTCTAATATTCATTTTCCCTCCTCCTCCCCTCCTCATGGCTTTACTGCATTATGGCACGCTTTGTCTGCGCAGACGCCGAGGCCTTTAAGGTCGGCAGAGCAGCCTGCCTAAAATTCCAATGCACCGATCGAACACTTACACACATAATCCAATACTGGCAATAGGGAACTGCTTCTCTGTACCTAAAATTTCTGTTCACCTAACCTGGCCTTTTGCCCTCATACCGAACACAATGAGCACCTAAAATTTCTGAAAATAGAGCATTCCTACAACAGGTACAGTAACACGACCGTGCATCCACAGGCTGTGACAGCTAAGCCTTCAAGTTCAACTGCTGGGATGAAAATACCGTGTCGATTTGACTCTCAACAGGATATTGCATGTCGCCAGTTGGTCCACGCTCGAGTTGAAAGGCGTTTTCACAACGGCACAACTGGCAACATGTCAAGATGCTGGTGAAGTACTGCTACAAGATCTCTGTGTCAGCGTAGCATGGATGTTGCGTCTTGACTGTTGACGACTTGCGTTAGGACAAACGGCAGTATTATTAGCTAGCATCTGCTACACTCTTCACCTCGTCGCACACCCATCGTCCTCTCACGTGATAATGAGGGGTAGGGTAGAGATACCCGTTGATATCCTCTGCTCTTCAGAACATATTGACTGTGACTCTGAGCAACTGAACTAATTATTATTACTTTTAAACTTTGAATCTTGCGACTGCAACTAGTGTGAGTTGCTACATCATATTCAAACAGCCTATTGCTACTAGTATTTTACAGGTGCTCACGAATAGTGTGTGTGTGTGTGTGTGTGTGTGTGTGTGTGTGTGTGTGTGTGTGTGTGTGTGTGTGTGTGTGTGTGTGTGTGTGTGTGTGTGTGTGTGTGTGTGTGTGTGCGTGTGTACTATTACTATTAGTCTACTGTGGATAACTCGGGGTACAGCACTGCGTGGGGCGCACGGGTCGGGATGAACAAGTGTGCATGTACTACAAGCGAGTGTACACAATCAGGAGAAGTGATTTCAGTGGCGGATATCTACCCGTACACAAGGATAACATAATCATTACGTGTAGTCATACCGCCACTGATAACCACGTCCTAGGCCCATGCACACGTCCTAGGCCCATGCACATACATGTACACGTACATACCACAGTCACAGGGTCACACACGGACGCTGGCGTGAAAGCAGCCACTTGAAAACGCCTCAACATAATCAGCTGATCACTCTCTCTCTCTCTCTCTCTCTCTCTAGCTCTCTCTCTCTCTAGATCACTGATTGACCCGACACTTGCGCATTGTGCAGTGGTCAGAACTTCACAAACATGTAGACCGGGAAAGGTTTAGCTAAGCTGGTCTAACGCGACTTGAGCCCAGCAGCTTTGGTATTGGCGAAGAGTGGCATAGTATCCGAAAACCCTTCCACTGCTAATCCACTACATATACTCGTAGGAAGGAACTTCTAAAGTACACTGTAGGCTCAAAGAGGATGCCATTTGTCGTATCATACATGTAGATTTAAACGCGAAGAAAGCGATTGTCAAAACAGCTCTCAGGCGACGCGGAGTCAAACCTCCATGTTTTGCAAAAGTGGATGATATGGTCCTATACTGCGGTGGAGCTTTCAATTTGATTCTCCATGCTTATCCTGTTCGAGCCCTGGTAGTGACAGTCAAAGAATGTTCTTCAAACTTTTCCCTTCCCCACTCCCTCAACAAGTGAATAATTATCCTGTTTTAGGTAATACATGATTGTACATTCCGTCCTTTCGGCAGCTTTGCGCTACATGTATTCTGTTGCACGTCACGTGCTGTCTCACACGATGACAGGTGTGCTGCGGATGCAGGGAATCCCCCTATCAGTCATGCCATGCAGATCGAGCACAATCAAGTCGTCTAATATGTATTCTACTGTAATTCAATTGTGCAAAACTGGTTATCATTGTCTACGCCGACCATTCAGAAGACGCGCCGTTTTCACCTATACTAACTACATGTATTACTAAGAATAACCTCTTGCCCGTGCATGCATAATAATTATGGACATGAACATTTTTAATTATGCTAGCAGCAGGCATACACACACTTGAAAGAATCAAAAGCGTTTCGGTTGTAGCTCTGAGTTTCACGGTTTTATAAACCGATCATCAGACAGCAACTTGACTACAATTGATTTTCCGTACATGCATAGACTGATGGTGGTGGTGCCTGGGTCTGTGGGAGTGATACGACTCCCCGGTATGTGCGTGTGTGTGTTTGTGCGTGTGCGTGTGTGTGTGCGTGTGTGTGTGTATGTGTGTGCGTGTGTTTAAAATCGTCCCATTCATAACTGTGAGAATCTACATGTGCATAGAGTGAATTTCCACGGCAGCTGATAAGGCAGGCTTACCTGATTAATACACTTGGCGTAGCACTGACTCCGACCAATCTCCAGACCTGCCTTTGTCCAAGCTGTCCATTCCACGGCTTCAAATGATGCCTTCTCCAAACTATAGCAGTCACCACCACTGCCCGTATCACCACCAGCATCACCAGTAGTGACACCCTCACACGGCACAGCACAAAGATAGCAGCAGTAGCCCATCAACAGGATCAGCGAGGAGAACTGCTGCAGTCGCTGACAGAACGGACCGCCGCTTCCTGGGGAGAGAACCATGGTATTGTGTGTGCGTGTCAATCCCCCTGTGGTCTGCCTTGCTAATGGTCGAGTTCCCCTTGCGGATGTCCTGGAACAGTCACAGTACCTGTATTCTCATCTCACTTCGCTAGTGCTAAGGGCCTTCCTGCTCATTCTCTTCGTGGCAACCAAGCGAAGTTCCGCGGCGCGCTCAATGCGTGTCTCCAAAACACGCGCGACCACTGATACAGTTTTCACGTGCTTGCCGAGCTGATAACGGAGCGTCGTGGAAATCGCAGACAGGCGCGCACACTGATTTCGCGTGTCCCCGCGAAGGTGAGAGTGCCGACCGATGGGTGGAAGTCCGCGGGAAGTCACCAATGTCTTCACTCAGGGGAACACTAACACCGACTCAAGGCACTTGGGTTAGCAGCGAACACGGGATACCACCCTTCAGTCCGTACTTGCAGCCTGTGCCAAGTGACACCACCACCACCGAGTTACTCAAGGATAACCAAGTTGGCGCGTATAGGCAAAACGAACAGAACCTAACCTTCGAACTCCTAATATTTAGATCCTTCCTGGATCCAGTGCATGTGCACACACAGAGAGCAGAGAGGTCAGGAGATTCCACAACGAGATGTAGGTACATGAATGGTGACATGAACAGGATCAGCTCAGAAAGAGACCATCAGGTGGTAGGCTAAGCAGCATGAGCCACTGCATTGAACCCAGCGATTACAGCAGAATGGGTGCTGATCCACTACTCCGCGCCACACGGCCGTCGTGAGGGATCCAGGTCATGTATCCTGGACTACTTGCAGCCGATCCTGGGACATGACAGAGGTTTTCAGGTCAGAGACGTCTCCCCAGAAGAATACAGCGGGGCAATTCAGTGCTAGTCGTAGAACAGCTGCCAAGCCCACTGCTGAGCCGCTATCCTCACTGCCCGTCTTGACAATACAGGTAGCCGTTCACAGTCCCGACGTCCAGCACTTTATGCATCAACAAGCTCGTGCGCAAACACTATCCGCATCTGAACAGGGGTAGTAAGGAAGCGACGGATCCGAACCCTCCGCTCTTGTTCCAAACCGCTTGGGAACTTCTTGAACGCTGTACAAGATTACTCCCGTTCCATTCTCACTCTTACAACTACTTCAGACGTAGCCAGACCTACCTCAGCGCTCAACAACTTCCAGTTCCACCGCTTACAGAACACACACACGGCAGATCTACGAATGATGATGATGATGCGCTGTAGGGGATTGAGGACCCTACTCGCAGACGAACGCACGTCAAGCGCCAGTGACGATACGTGGTGAGTCTGATGCAGAACGTCCCCGTACACGCAGAACGCGGGCGCATTCACACACGCTGATGCTGTGGCTGAGATACACGAAAGTCCTTTCAGTTGTGGGTTCAGTTATCTGATATTCATCATGCACGCAGTCTTCACGATAGGCAGACGGGCGGTGACCACGCAGTGCGAGATTGTCACAGGCCACCATGTGTACAACCCGCCAAGTACAAGTAGACCATGAGATCAGACCGAGGAGATATGCATGCGCATACGTAGCCACACTAGCATCGATACTAGACTAGGTTTCGGCTGCTTTTCCCTCAATGTCTGACTGACCAATGTCGTTTCGGGCTGCGCTGGTAGCACATCGAAGTAGTACAAGTTTCCCCGTTGTCATTCCGTGCTGGGGAGAAAAAGCTATCCAGGTTTATCACGTTGGTGGCCGCTTGGCAAACGGACTACTTCCTGCCCGGTATAGCCTATAGAACCTCAGCTAGCATTGGGATTACTTCTCTCGCACAGTCACGTGGACACACGCCATTCTGTAGCACTGTTCGTGACGCGCTTAACCAGTTGCCATGTTCCGCCTAACGAGCTAAAGCATTGTAGGCATACGGGCTGCACAACACGCTGCTCGTTATCGCTCCTAGTCCGCCCGTGACTAGTACTAGTAGTATTAGCACTTCAATCTTTAGCTTTTGTGCATTTAATGTATAGTATGCCGCTGATCTGCTGGGAATGTTGACTTTGCCAGTGGGCAATAGGCGCATGAGAGCGCGAGAATCTACCGTTAATGTTTCAAGCTTGCTCCGCACCCAACATGTCAACCTCATCGCCTGGTGACGTCATGACCCTGCGGCTAGGACCAAGTCGTGTTTGTGCGATCACGCTTCGGGTGTGGGCAGCAGCACGCATGCGTACCTGTTTGTTCACTAGCTGTCCTTTTACGGTGCGAACTTGGGAAATGGGCAACGTCCTCCATTACTGAGTATTGAGTTACTTGCACATGCCCATTCTGTTTGCACTGTGCAGGGCTCGCCTCGCTAACTGTGGGCTGTTCAGCGCGCGACGTCTAGCCCTGACTCGTATCGGCGGCGATGTCAGAGGGAATTGACACCTAACGGTGCTGTATCTACCGCTGTGCGCCGCAACGACCGGCCGCCGCCCTGCGCTAGCCAACTACAGCAGCACAGAAGTCATAATACTACAGGTACATTATAGCCATTACAGGGCAGTGTTGGAGTCATAATACAGCCATTGCAGTGCAGCCGCAGAGCTGGCTCGTACAGACTGTCAGTGAAACTGGCAGCCTGAGTCACTGTTCGATAGGACTAATACGTCTGAATAAACCCGTTTTGACTACTAAGTCTGAATAAACCCGTTTTGACTACTAAGTCTGAATAAACCCGTTTTGACTACTAAGTCTGAATAAACCCGTTTTGACTACTAAGTCTGAATAAACCCGTTTTGACTACTAAGTCTGAATAAACCCGTTCTGACTACTAAGTCTGAATAAACCCGTTTTGACTACTAAGTCTGAATAAACCCGTTTTGACTACTTAGTCTGAATAAACCCGCTTTGACTACTACTACTGCAAGTCTTGCAAATAGGAGCGAAGACATGCGATTGCAAGACTTCGTTATCACGGCTGTAGATGTACATGAACCCACGACACGATCTGAATAGACAGTCTCCGAAGAGGGAGGTGAAAAGTCGAAAAGTGAAAATCACAGTCTAATAAGTAGTACATAGCGGGCCATTGACGTTATCAGCCTGAGGCACACCTACATATCATGTACCAAGAGTATAATAATTATACTCTTGATAGCACACTGTACAGTGAAACTATTGATAGTACATGTGCACGTACATTGTAGCTTAAACCCAGAAAAGCCTGGACGGCTTGTGGAGTTGCGCCAAAGCCCGGGCTGTGCGGATGCTTTAGAGCTGGTGCCCAGACCTGGCCTCATGATGTTTGCTTGTACAATGTAGTTGGTAACTTCTGGGGCATGATTCGGACGTTTTGTCCACGTTGTGTTCGTACTTGCAATCTTGTACATGTACGTGTACGTGTACGTGTGATGCTACGTGTAGTTGGGTTCGTTACGATAGTACGCGGCTTTTCTTGTATGCAAGCTCTTGGTTCATTGGCCTCACGGTATGCCTTCGGATGAGATGATGTTACCGTAATTGAAGTGGACCGATCGCTTTAACGGTGCTTGCAGTTGTATGATCTTAGATCCTGGGCATGCGTCTCCATTCACATCACGTATGCATATACAACTTTGCGTATAACGACACTCGGCGGGGCATCAGAAAAGTGTCCTTATTCGCGAAGTGTCGTTATACCCGAAGTCTCATTACTATTATGTATGTAGAGGGGACGGCTCGATACCGGGAAGCTTTGACAGCCAAATTTGTATAGACCCAAACCGATCACCAGCGTTGATTTTTCACTCGAAATATGTTTGTGGAAGGAAACTGGCATGTTGAAGTTTGCTCTGGGGCCAGAGTCAATCGAACTGAGCCACTCCTTTGTGTTGACCCATTGCCTCCAAGTTGCCCAATTTTTCGCTTCAGAAAAGTTCAAATCAGAGGTGGCTCCAAACCGGACACGTTTTAGAGTGCACGTCAAATTCACTCTGGGTCTGAAATTAGGTAATTGCTATCGCTCCACGACGGCCAGTACAGAGTAACAATAAGCCTTGTGTGTGCTTCCATTAGTTTTGATTGGTATGCGGTGCTTTATTGGCGAGAGGCGAGCCGCTGTTTACCTGCGACAAGAAGTTGATTTTTCGAAAGTCGTAAAACTCAAGTCGCAGTGCGAAGCAACACGTCACATCGTAGTCTCACTGTGACATATGTTTTCTAATCAAAATACCAAGAGAGAAAGTGAATATTGAGTCCGTTCCGGTTTGCAACCTGTGTCCAATTTGAAACCGTCCCCTCTACATGCAGGTAGAATGGACTTTGCTCTGGGCATGGAAATTCTAAAAAAGTATTCTTTCTAGACCAAACAAGCAATCACATCTACACCCATCACCAACGTATCAATTCTCGCCAAGCAGTCGTCCCTTGTGAATCGTCGTATACGCGAAGCAATGTTCATTCGTGATAGACGCCCAAGTGTTAACAGGGATCGTGGCTGGAGACTGCTGGACACAGTGTGAAATTATTGTACAGTCGTCCCTCTCTAATCCGGCACCTTTTGCAACGGCATTTTCTGCTGGATAAACAAGGGTGCTGGATTATCAAATCCTGCCCTCCAACCCGGCCCACCTATTAACATAAATGTTTGTGTCGTACGTCAAAACGTAGCAATTTTCTGTGTCAATTCAAGTACTTTGTGGAATGCATGTCTATAACATACACTTGGGAATATCCTATGCACTGGCATAGGATATTCCCAAGTGTATGTTACATGTGTTGTGTATGTTACAATGGTCCCTGACAGTATGCGATGTACAACTGCTGGATTAGAAAATTGAATTATGCACAGTTTGAGTGATTTGTTGCAGAAAATCGCTGCTGGAGGCGGAATTCAAGTGCCGGATTAAAGCGTAGAAAATGAACTGAAAAAATCCGTTTTGCCAGAAAGTGTGCTGGTTTGCAAGGGTGCTGGATAAACAAAAACCGGATTAGAGAGGGACGACTGTATTAGATGCTGGTGTTGTAAATTGTGGTAGATTATGATGTTGCGAATATATGATATGATAATATTTGATATTTGATGTTTATGTGTGCTAGCTGGATATATAGCGCTTAGCAAATAGTTGTCGTCATCTTTGTCTTCACACCCATGGACCCAGCTACATTGCATACTTTGCATTCTATTCTCCATGTCACTAACACATATTCACACTTACAGACACAGCTCTCCACTTGGCTCCTTCCCTTTCTACCAACACACTTCACCATTGCTGCTGGTAACCACACTTCTCGTGCTTTCCCTTCACGTCGCACTAACACATATTCACACTTACAGACACAGCTCTCCACTGGTCTCTTTCGCTCCTTCCCTTTCTACCAACACACTTCACCATTGCTGCTACCCTCCACACATACAAAGATTTCCAGCACTACCGCACCACACAGCATATATACTCGTTTCACTTTTTGTTGGCTTTAGTTGAATGGTTTTTTTTCACCCTGAAGATGGGCCATGCCCGAAAATTTGGTGCATTCCATTTGTATCTAATATTAAAACAATAGGAGGACAGAGGAAGTGTTTTTACTCAGAGTTTCACGCACTAAGCGATCATCAGAAAACAGTAATTGGAAATCTGGATCAGAATGGGTTTATATCCTCACAAAGCAAAGTGTAAATAGCGGCAGTGCAAAGCGTGAATGACAGCAGTGGTGAAAGGTGACAACCACTGGAGCTGGTTGTCTCTTACTTTAAAATTAGGTGATGGCTGTAGCTGGTTTAAAGTTCCGAAGGTAGTACCTATTCTCATGGCGACACTTCGACACAAGCTCACTCCTTTTGTTGAGAGAGAGGTGCTTGGGTGCTTGCGCGATTGCCAATTTCTCTGCCAGGCACAGGTTGCACCTTTTGCTTTTGTTGCTGTAGGCCGCTGCTCTGCGGTGTACCGCCCATTGAATGCTGCATGCCTTCCCTTCATCCTTTTTGGTCCAGACGTACTGCGATAGGCGGGTGTCCTTCTCGTGTTGTCTGTGGCGGAATGAGGATTGGTGGTTATAGTAGCGTTGTTTGAATGTTGTTGCTGTTAATCCAGTATATTCCTTCTTCTCCATACCTGCGGTGACTCTTACCTTATATACGATACTCTCCGTTAGACATGCTCCGTCCACATGGTCCAGTGGACACGAGTCTTTCGCCCGACAGTTACAAGTCCTGGTATCGTTGTCACCTCCGTTAGCTTGTTTCTTGGGTCGTAGAATCGTGTTATTGTGTTGCTTGATGATAGTGGCCATATTCTGCATGCAACTGTAGCTAACCTTTA